ACTTCTCAGAAATGTATATCCCACTTTTCCAAATTGTACGAAGTGGCTTACAAATTTTTTTTTTAAAAACCCAGAAATCTATAAAAATGAAAGATGCTTAGTTGTTTCCTATGGATGTTCTGCTGACAGTAATGGATCCTTCCTGCCTGGATCTCACCCCCCCCCCACCCCCAGCATTTCCTGTGAACCTCCCCAAAGTTCCTGTTGGTGGCTGGGGGACCCACAGACAAAAAAAGCTATTGGGGGGGGGCGGTCAGGAGGATGCAGTGAGGAGGGGAATCTAATGAGACTGCTTCTGCTCCATCTTCTACCCGCAGAACCTGTATCAGACACACCCCATTAAAACCATTAAGCTAAAATCACATAGCCCTGACCTGGATGGTCCAGGCTAACCCGATCTTGTCAGACCTTGGAAGCTAAGCAGCGTCAGCCCTGGTCAATATTTGGATGGGAGACCTCCAAGGAATACCAGGGTGATGACACGGACACGGAGGCAGGCAATGGCAAACCAAATCGGAACATCTCTTGCCTTGAAAACCCTAGGGGCCGGCATAAGTTGGCTGTGTCTTGATGGCAAAAACCAAAAAAGCATAAGTTAAAATAGACACAAGGAAATATAAAGGATTAAATTAGAATGGGGTTTTAAAGGCAGCAAAGCGAGCAACAGCAGCAGAGGACAGCAGGCCATCGACTAATGGAATAATTTTTTAAAAATCACAGGTTAACAGAGCTGTAACAAGCTCAACCAAAGGCGGAACAATATGGGGGGGGGGAAGCCATCACCTAGTGACTACATGTGAGCAGTGAAGTTACCAGGCAAGCCTCACAGTGGAGAGTATTTCATAGTCAGTGGGGCCACCACTGAGAAGGCCTTATTCAGCACCTTGGTGATCATTGTATCTACAGAAGGGCCTCTGAAAATCTTAGCAAATGGGCAGATTTATACAGGAGGTGATAATCTTCAGATAACCTTGCCCCAGACTGCATGAAAGGTCAAAAACCAGCATTGGTCATTTATGTAGCTCAGACTTTTAATGCAGACCAGAAGACAGACACATGTTGCTTCAATCTCTGGAAATACCAGAACATACTGGAAATACCAGTAGCTTTTGTGGCTCTCAGATAATGGTGCCTGTCTTCCTTGTTCACACAGCTCTTTCTGTTGAGCAAAATCATCTCTTAAGAAACATTTAGCTGCCTCCACAATGTGACCAACCGGAGACCTTTCAACTCCCCTAATGGCTACTTTGTTGTACATAATTAAGGCCCGCATTTGTGCTTCTTGGATGCTTTAGTAACGCCAAAGCAGAGAAATGTAATTTTATGGCTGGAGGACTTAATTGCTTCAGTATAAAAACTTGGACTACTCATATTTTTAATCAATATGTACGACTGCAGTTTCAACATCTTGCAGAAAGAATATAATGGACCTGACGAGACCCACAGGAAGTGAGCACAAACAGGGATATTAAAAGCCTGGCTTTAGTGATGAGGTTTACAGATAATTGTGTTTGTTAGGAATGTTGAAGGCAATAATAATTAAGGAGGGGACAGTGTCCTTCTGTTGATATTTTGCCTGTGCAAGTCCCTTCTACCAGATCCCTAGTGCCCTCTTTGGTAAAGGTTTTCCTTGCTCGAAAGCCAGTCGAAGGGTAACCAAGGGAACCGACTACATCCACCATGCAGAATTCAGCACAATACATCTCCGTTTCCAAGCCGAAGAGCCAGCGCTGTCCAGAGACATTTCCATGGTCATGTGGCCGGCATGACTAGACGCCAAGGCGCACGGAACGCTGTTACCTTCCCACTGAAGTGGTACCTATTTAAAGGTAAAAGGTAAAGGTTCCCTTGCTCGAAAGCCAGCCGAATCCAACTCTAGGGTCGTGGTGCTCATCTCCGTTTCAAAGCCGAAGAGCCAGCGCTGTCCGAAGATGTTTCGGTGGTCATGTGGCCGGCATGACTAAACACCAAGGCGCACGGAACGCTGTTACCTTCCCACGGAAGTGGTACCTATTTATCTACTTGCAATTTCTTGCTTTCGAACTGCTAGGTTGGCAGGAGCTGTAACTAGAGACAGGAGCCCACTCCGTCTTGCAGCACTCGGGTCTCGAACTGCTGAACTACCGACCTTCCAGTCTGCAGTTCAGCGTCTTAACCACCTGAACCACCGCAGCCCATCTCATCAGTGGGGATTGCGCAGGACAATTCCTAGCTGGCTTGTGCCCCTTAAGACGCGCAGCCTGATCCTGCACACGTTTACACAGAAGTGCGAACCACTAAGGGGGCAATCCTATGCAGATCTACTCAGAAACCTACTGGGGTCTAAATAAACCTGAACAGAGAGAAATGCCTTCTTTTCAACTCTTTGCTGGGGCGGAAATCACTACCTGATGTTTGTCCAGCTTACCAAAAATATTTGATATGCATTTCCATAACAATGGGATTCGAACATACGAATTTTGAGGATTTGAATTTTCATGGGGGCAGGGGGGAGATAAAAATCAACTCTTTGCTGGGGCTGAAATCACTACCTGATGTTTGTCCAGCTTACCAAAAATATTTGATATGCATTTCCATAACAATGGGATTCGAACATACGAATTTTGAGGATTTGAATTTTCATGGGGGCAGGGGGGAGATAAAAATCAAAGGGAGCGAGACCTGGCTATACTCAGAGGTAAGCCACGTGGGACTTGCTTGCCAAACAGCGTCCTTGCTGCCAGGGCAACCAAGAGAACAAACTACATCCACCGTGCAGAATTCAATACAATTAAGGGAGCAAATATTTTCTAGAGCAGCAAAATCACTTCTATTCCGAACCGGGCCTCCAGAGAGCCAGGTTTTAGGGTCCAATCTTCTGCTTGTTCATTTCAGAAGTGAGGCTGCAATCCTAAGAACACTTTGCAAGTAAGCCCCACTGAGTAAAACAGCACTTACTTCTGAGTAGACCTGCTTAGGACTGCTCCCTAAGCCCCACTCAGTGCAGTGGGCTTACTCCTCAAATAGGCATGGGCAGGGGTCGTTTCGTAGAAAAAGAGCGAGGGGAACTCATTAGCATAGCTCTTTAGCATATGCCCCACCCCCTGACACCATAAGGCCCGGCGGTGGACCTGCAAGGCCGGCGGGAGTGCGAGGAAGCCCCGCCAAGGCCCTCCTTGGCCCCAGGCAGGCAGGGGTGGGGAGAGGCAGGAAGGAAGCAACTTACCCTCCCTCTTCTCCTGCCTCCTCCTGGCTGAATGAGGGCCGGAAGCGAGGCGGCCGGAAGCAGGGGGTGTGGCTTCGTCGTGTGCCCCGCCCCCCGCACCTCACCCGGGGGAACTGCGATTCCCCGCGATCCCCCCCGAAATGACCTCTGGGCATGGGTCCTGGAAGGCCCTTCTGGCTGGAAAGAGAAGCCCGTTCCTTCTGGTGCGTTTGGAGAACAGTGCCTGTTACTTTCAAGTTAGTGCACTGAAGGGAAAGGCTTGAGGCAATCTGCCAGGCTTCAATGGCAAGTGAATCCCAACTTAAGATGCCACCAGTTCCGAGGAACGATGGGCATAGGATCGCTAGGTCCTTAACTTGCACCAGCAGGGGGTGGGAGGGAGATTTCTGGGAGTGGGGGAGCGGGGCGACATCGCCACACGCGATGTCCCCAACATGATGACGTCACACGGAAGTGACATCATCATGCTGGGGTGGTCACATGACTGGAGACGCTCTGGTTTTGGGGCAAACTCTATGGTAAAATTGGTCTTGAACCATAGAGTTTTGCCCCAAAACCAGAGCGTTGCCATGCGACATCCCTGGTGTGATGATGTCACTTCCGTGTGATGTCATCATGTCGGGGACTTTGCGCAGGTCATAGATGTTGGTGGCAGGGCTTCCAGCCCTGCCAGCCACCTGGCCAGCGGCGGGCAGGAACCCATGAAATTGGGGGATCCCCCTCTCCCACCTGGGGACTGGCAACCCTAGATGGGCAGCGGTGGGCCTCTAGCCCCAGCAGCAGTTGGGCCTACGTGGTGCTCAGAATTACCCCACTGGCCATATCCAGCTGGATCTAAGGCTGGCTCTGCACACACACCCCACGACCCATATGGTGTGCCTTAAACCTGCACAGCAACATGCTGAGCTGGGGCCAGAGCAGCATTGGTGCAGTCCGGCCTCCCTGCAGGGAGTGGATCAGCAGCAGCCCCAGCTCCCAGCCTCCCACCAGTAATCAGCAGCTTTGTGCTCCTCCTCATGGGTAGCCATGTGTGAAAACCACCCAGGAACTGATGGAGGGGGGTGGGGCTTGGCTCAGCATTGGACAGGTCAAGCATTTTGAGCTGAGAAATGAGAGTTTCTGGGGAGGTTTTTGGGTTCATTTAAATTGATACGGAGATGGGGGTTCTGGGCACCCCCTTCAGGCCTGCATCTGGGGCAGAACGCACCAACCGCCCCACCCTTGGTATGCCACTGTATGATGGACCCCGAGTTTTGTGTGTGTGTGTGTGTGTGTGTGTGCGCGTGGATAGTTTTGCTTCATTATTAAAAGTATTTGGGTTCTGATAAACTAAGTAATTTTGGGGTTTTGTGCCTTCAAGTTACAGCCAACTTATGGTGACCCCATAGGGTTTTCAAAGCAAGAGGCATTCAGAGGTGGTTTTCCATTGCCTGGCTCTGTGTAGCAACCCTGGTATTCCTTGGTGGTCTCCCATCCAAGTACTAACCAGGGCTGACCCTACTTAGCTTCCAAGATCTGATGAGATCGGCCTAGTTTGGGTTATCCAGGTCAGGATAAAACTAAATAATACACTTTCTCTAATTCGGGTATTTTATCAGCTGCCAAATTTGAACCATTTAAATGCTGATTGCTGATGCATTGTTCTTAAAGTTCATTACTGCTTGTTTTGATTGACCATGATTATCTTTATGGATCCTTTTTATTTTTGTACACAGGCCTAAAAGGCTTATGGCTACAAGGCAGTGTATATATACATACACATATCTCTCTCTTAACTGAAAAATCCAACACTTACGTCACTCCAGTTCCCCACCATCCAATACGCATCAGTATGCAAATCCCTGGACTCTTCCAGATAGTTGGAGGCATTCGGCAACATTCCCATAGAGGTTTCGTCATTGGCAGATGGTTTCTGTTCTATTCTGTTTGAAGACCTGCCTCCTGATGTTTCATTTGACTGTGGTGGGTGTACCAGAACAGGACCTGCTGTTGCAGGTGTACTTATTTGTCCATGGAACTCCTGGAGGCCTACTGTTGTCAAAGAGATACCTGTTCCTGCTATGGGGTCAACAGAAACCTGGATAGCTGTATCACGATGGTACACCGTTGGTGACGTTTCTGAAGTCTTGCCAGCCATAGTAGGGGGATATCTTGTCAGCAGCCCACTCTGGGCACTGTCTGTTGTTCCTTCACCAGTCTTGTTAGACACGGTATGAGATACATCTTTTGAATAGTTATAGCTTGGAGTTATGGTCAAAGGCATAGGGCTAATTGTAAAAGAAGTCCAATGTACGAGCCCACCTTTTGAGGAGTTGTACAGTTCTTTGGATGCATTTTCTACATTTTTAAAATTTGGAACACTTGAATGATTTGTAATAGGCCAAGGAGTGCTATTTTGCTGGTGACCAATACCACTAAATAAAAGAGAATAATTGCTGGGGACACTCAAGCCGCTGGAATTACTCTGCAAAATTTTTGCTTCCGAGTCTTCTTCTTGAGAAAAGTTCATTAGGTTAAAGGACGTGGGCATCAAAGTAACATATTTGGGATTGGGAACTGTTGGTGTCATGATTCTTGGGCTGGGTTTTGGGTTGGGGGGCTTGTCCATGGGGCCACTTCTGGGGTTAGCTCCTGTCCTGATTATCTTTCCACCATGCACTCTGAAATGGGGGAACTGCAGTCTTCTGATGGATGGACATTGCTGGAGCCCACACAGAGCTTTAGAATGTGGTTTCTTTGAAATGTTACATGGCTCCCCATTGTTTTTGGTACATGTCACGTTACGGGTACGTATCCCTCCACCACAGGTAACTGTACACTGCAAAACAAGCAAACCATCTTAAAAGAGCACCTCTGATTCCTTTTTCTGGAAAACTTTCTGCAAGAAATACAAGCATTAATTAACAATTAATTAATTAACAGCAATTGCACTTTGAGTGATACAAATGGATAGACCTCTTGGATGTACAATGGAAAAAGAAACAACTGAATTTCTCAGTCGCCCTAGGGTAAACAACTAGTCATTTCACTGTCACGGAAATCAGTTCCAAGATAAGTTTTGAAAGGTTGTGAACTTTTAGTGACTTTTAAGCTCATAGTTCTAATTGCACCAATGTTTTGAGCAGGAGCACTCTAAACCAGAAAAGAAATCTCGTTGACTCCCGATGTCTAGTGCTATAGGTCTAAGTCTCTCCTCCTCTACTGGCAGTACTAAAGAGCTGTCTTTTGCCCTGTGCTTTGCAGCCCATCAGAAGCTCCAACAATATCACTGCGCCTAGCATGCTGCCCTCGCTAAGCCTCTGGCCTTTTCCTCTCACATCTTGAAAATGTGCTTAGTATTTCCATCCCCGAAAAGGAAAAAACCCACACAATGTAACATTATTTTAATCTGTCAATACATTTGACTGCCTTTGATCCGCATTTTGCATTCATGCTGAGGCCGGGTGCCATTGGTCCTCCACTGTAGCCACACGACTTTTTAGCAGACACAAGCTGTCACTCCAAACCCAGAACTGCTTCACAGGAAGTTGACATGTGGCTCCGTTGGGAACAGAGTCATTAGTATAGATGTTACAGTACGTCAAAAACATTACCCAAAATTAAACCACCGTTTAATCCAATCACTACTAACCATCACATTTTCGTTCAAATATAAATTAGAACGGAACAGTGAGTAAACAGAGCAGTTTTGGGGAAACTGTGTACACTGGCTGATGCCAAAGGAGACCAAGGCTTGCGCTGCTCCCTCATCAGTTTTAGAATTGGTTGGGAAATTATTGAAATGTTTTCCATGAGCTGGGAAGCAGATGGCAGGATTAAAAACCACACAGCATGCATACCTCCTCCTCAGCCAAATCATAATACTAAGTAGCATGGGCACAAGCCCACAGCAGAAACTGGCGTTTTCATAAGTAAAAGGTAAAGGTTCCCTTGCTCGAAAGCCAGTCGACTCCGACTCTAGGGTTGCGGTGCTCATCTCCATTTCAAAGCCGAAGAGCCAGAGCTGTCCGAAGACATTTCCGTGGTCATGTGGCCGGCATGACTAAACACCAAGGCGCACGGAGCGCTGTTACCTTCCCACCGAAGTGGTCCCTATTTATCTACTTGCAATTTCTTGCTTTCCAACTGCTAGGTTGGCAGGAGCTGGAACTGGAGATGGGAACTCACTCCGTCATGCGGCACCCGGGTCTCGAACTGCTGAACTACTGACCTTCCACAGCCTGCAGTTCAGCGTCTTAACCACTTGAGCCACTGCAGCTCATAGGTTACTGTTAGAGAATGTTCTGAAAGCAAAGAAACTGAGGAAGCTAAACCTAATGAATTGCTGGTATGAAGACTGTTTCAGAGGTTAGCTGTGTTGGTCTGCAGAAGAAGGACAGATTCGAGTCCAGTAGCACCTTAAGAGACCAAGGATGTTTTCGGAATGGGAGCTGTTGAGAGTCAAAGTTCCCCTCATCAGATCTGATTCATTCGAAATGTGGCCTTGGAGGAGAGCTTTGCAGATACCATGGAGTGCCCGGAGGACAAATCAGTGGGCTCTAGACCAAATCAAGCCCGAACTCTCCCTAGAAGCTAAAATGCCTATTGTACTTTGGTCATGTTACAAGAAGAAATGAGTCACTATCAGAGGTCATTTCGTAGAAAAAGAGGTGCAGGAGCATATTAGCATAGCTCATTAGCATAACTTATTTGCATATGCCACACCCACCTGACATCACCGGAAGTGTGTCAGAAGGCAACACCCACCGCTCAGGCTCCACTGGGCTGTTTTGGATTACTAGCTATTGGGGGGGGGGGGCGTGCAGATCTGTCCTCACAGAGGAGGGAGAGCTTGTGCCTGAATAAAACTCGGCCTTAAAGGTGCCACTGGACTGTTTGGGACCAGTGGGGCCGGGGGGGGGGGCTCTGCAGTTTACCTGGCTGCTTCTTGCTCTGACTGAGGGCTGCTGGGAGCAGGGAGTGGGGCTTGTTGCATGTGCCCGCCCCCTGGGCTCTTTACTGCCAGAGCTCCGCTCCTGTGCGCTCCTGCAGGAAATGACCCCTGGTCACAATAAAAAAACAATAATGCTAGGAAAAGTTGGAAGGAAGCAGGAAAAGAGGAAGACCCAACACGAGACGGATTGACTCACTCAAGGCA